ATTAACAAGCACTGTTATGATGTAATACTTTACCATTTAAAAAAATTAATGAGATTTGTTGTAAAGTAAAGTCGCAATGCAATGTACAATATTTTAAAAGAAATATTTATTTATTTATCTATCTATCTATCTATCTTGGCAGAGTTTCAATAAAAAAAATTAAAAGATAAAATGATACCTCTGTACTTGTGGCACGACAATATTTACATGTGTTTTATCAGCACTAATATGTATTCATCAGACCATTTCTGCATCACCCATGCATTCACGGACTGACACACTCTGATAACTGATCTCTAATTTAATTTATATTTACGGCGAGATTTATAATGCAATAATGTTCTCGTGGATGTTTCATTTGGAGAGTTTACGAGGGGCCTGACAGATGGTGTCATTGTGCGTTGCTTTGCCACTGCTCACCTCTCTCTATACTCAAGATGGCCACCCTCAAAAAGAGCTGAGGGAGAAATGAAATCAACTGTGAAGTCTCCTTGAATTCCACTTCAAAGTTGCAGTTAAGTATGAAAAACTTTGCCACAGTATTTAGAAATCCCTGACTGAACGAATGCCAGATCTTTGAACAAACACTGGCGGCAAAGCCTGCAACTTATACAGTCTAGTTATCGTTCCGGTGGCTCTGTTGATGAATTGTGTACTCTTTCCTTGTCAGAATCTTAATCTTAATCCCTCTTAATCAACATTTACTCTCCGAAGTGCTGGTACGATACAACAGTCAAGCAGGAGATGGTAGGGCCCGTCCTTGGAGACATCTTTACCCAGCCTGAAAGTATTAACGGGCAACAAAAAAGTAGACGCACTCTCCAAACACAGAGGCTGTGAATGAGGACTTTATCTCCACCGGCTCTTAGAAGCGAGCATCAAAGCCTGAGGAACTCACAGAAGACTATGACTAAAGGTGCGGGCTCTCGCAAGATAAAGAGCGCTTGATTCTTGCGGAAAGCATTGTAGCGCTCTTCGCCTTGATTTTGCTTTCAAAACCAGCCAGAACTAAATGCCTCTGAACATACGGGGTGATGGCACATGATGAAACCCAACACGAAATGATTTCAATCCACACAGGTTTTGCTTTTCATTTCTCCCTCAGATTAAAAAAAAAAGAGCCGAATCCCCCAGAGAACAAGCCGTTGACATGAAGACACCCCTCCATCACAAACACTGCGACAAACTCTCTTGTTAAAAGCATCCCTGGTGCGTCAGATATGAGAGAGAGGGAGAGCGAGCAAGAGAAGAAAAAAGGGTTCTCCTGTTGTAAGCCATCTGTCTTGTTTTCCGCTGTTGTTTTAAGCACGGACAAGACATGCTTAAAAAAAGCAGACTAAGGAAGATCAAGTGTCAGCAATCTGTCTTATTTGAAGCTATAAACACCTGTCCTCATTCCGGCCTAAGAAATAAGTATCAGTGACAAAGACTGTGATGTTAAAGTCAAGAAAGCTGTGGAAAAGGAAGGTCTTGAGGGTTATCAGTGCTGCCTCTTTCTGTTTCGGGAGATATGGTCATCTCTCTTTGTTTACCAATGAACTACACTACACACAAAAAAATGTTCTAGAGATCTACGGAATGCAGAAAATAGAAAGCGAGTTCTTCACAGCACGCTTATACAAGATGATTTTTCAAAACCCTTGACTGGCGATGAAGAAAGCCGCAGAAACATCTGGAACATGCAGATAGGAATATTCAGAGAATAGACAAAGCTGCTCTGAAATATATTCTCCGGTGCATTCTGGCATATCTCGAGATAAGGAGAATGTTCTTGAAATATATGAATTATAAGTGGGCAACCCCTTAAGCTTCTAAAAAGGCCCGTTGTTTTGTTTTAGGAGCAATTGGTTCAGAAGCTTACTTTGGAGATATGTGTAGTTTAATCATCTGACGGAAAAAAAAACTGGCGAAAGTTCTGTGAACTTATAACATCAACCAACATTCTTTTACAATGTTCTTTTAAAAACAACACAGTTTGTTTCAGATGCCAATTCCTGCCTACATGTTTCGGGTTCAAATACTTCTTAAAAATCAGTACCACCGAAAACAATCTGGACTCAGGACTGGACTGGGAAAACAAGCAAAAAAGCATACTGTTGTGAAAAATAACGAAGGTATATAACGTAAGGTAAATAAGGACAGTCTTCAACATAAGCCAAAAACTCGAAACAGTGTGCCGTGCACAAACAATACCGGACAAACAATAAGCGAAGGTGAGGAACTTCTACACATGGTGATGAACTAAATTATGAATGTAGCAAGGTTAGATGTTGTGGGAAGAAGGAGGCGGGAACCGGCGAACGCTCAACAACTTTTAATAATTAAATAAATCAACAAATACAAAAACGACAACTGCTGCCACATATAATAAAACACAGCATAAATCCAGGCCTGGCCTCTCTCGATCTTCACTGTCGAGAACGAAGCCCCAGTGGAAGGAACAAGGATGGCATTTATGGTGGGAGGAGCCAGGGAGGCAAAGATAGGAGGAGTGGCCAGGTGGTGGTTCAGAGTGGTTGTTGTCAGCCCACGATGGAATCAACAGGGGGAGGAACTAAGGTGGGGATTTGGCTGACAACACCCGAGGACCAACTAATGGAGATGAAGCCATAGGAAGTGGAGCCCAGGGCGCAGACGGAGAGCAGATGGGGACGGCCAACACCAATGGTCCAGGAGGCAGAGGCGGAGCTAAAGTGGGGAGCATCCGAGGTGGAAGCCAGAGTGCCTGAGAACTGAGGCAGAGCCGGTCAGACAGTCAGACTGAGGACCAAGGCATAGCCGGAGAGAGGCAGAGCCCACTGGAGCCGAAGGGGTGGAGAGATGGAGTGCAGAGGATGGCTTGAAAGTCCGTGGCGCAGGCAGGGTGGCGGCTGACCAAGGTGGAGCCGGAGGGACGAGGGAGCACGGTGGAGCCGTACGGACGACAGTCTCTAGTGGAGCCGAAAGAGGGAGGAGCCAAGGTGCAGCCGACAGGTCGATGGACCAAGGTGGAGTGACGAGATCAGTGGTTGGAGACGGAGCCGGGGGATCTACCTGCTGGACGAAGAAGGTGCTGGAAGACCTGAGGCTTAACCACACAACGGCATAGGGGAGAAGGCTGGGCTGACGGAATTGCTGACTGATGCAGTGGAGGTGGAAGAGGGAGATTAGGTGGGATCGGCGAGGATAACTCCTTCTGAATAAGATAAAGCATTATTCTGGGCAGGACCAGTGGGGATGATAAAGGTTCAGAAGGTACAGGGCAGCGTGGGAAGCTTTACTTCCATTTTCCAGTCTATCAAGCACTCCTCTGTGTCCAGCTCCACCAATGTCCTGTCTGTCACGGATGTTGCCGGCTCATGCACATGGTCAGATCGTCTGCAGTTGATGGCTGGCTGGGCTCTGGATGCAGCAACGATGGATGTTGGGTGGGGCTGGTGGGGTCTATGGACAGGACATTACACCTAGATGAACAAGATTCAGAATCATCATAAGCATTTGTATGATATAATAAAAAATAATTAATCATAATAAATCAAACAAGGGTCATTAATTAGAAAAAAAAGAAACAATTAATGTTTCCTTCACAAGCTTTCGGAAATCTCCTACTTCCCACTTCTGAAGCACTTCGCCGCATTCAAGTGCTTTGTATTGGAAAGAACAGGAATCATGAAGGACACCAGGTTTATCCTGGCTTATTTATTGGGAAATCTTATTAAAGTAAAAAAGATATTTATATAGCATCCCATTCATTCACAACTATAACAATAAACACACTAGATAGTCAGCTTGCTAAAGATCCTGGAATTTCTGTCAAATGCAGGCTATTTTCACAGTGTATAAAACAATATGCACTACTGTAATGACAATAAGGCGATGTAGCTGTTGTGGAAAAAAATAATAAAATCACAGCAGCAATCGTTGTGCCATATTTCAAGTTATGGCCCGCCCATCTCGGGAGCTTTGGTATCAAAATTATCCCTGAGCTTTCCAGTGGTAAATATATGACTTGAGAGGGAATTCATTTCCAATTTTTATCTAGGAAACTCCTAGTTAAACTCCTAGAAACTCATTTAGGCTATGATAATTCCGATAGCACGTGAATGCAGCATTATAATTCAATTAAAAAGCTGTCACAAGCTTCAAAACGACCTTTGCATTAGACTGTTTCTTTTTAATTTCTTTGTCATTAGGCCTTAATGTATTCTTGCATTTATATATATTTTTAATATCTCTAATAATGAACAGTTAGATGTCTTTAGTGTGTGTGTGTGTGTGTGTGTGTGTGTGTGTGTGTGTGTGTGTGTGTGTGTGTGTGTGTGTGTGTGTGTGTGTGTGTGTGTGTGTGTGTTTTAAATACATCTTGATAGCTTGCTGTCAGTGGCTGTGAGAGCCAGGAGGGTATTTTGACAGCTCATCATTAACACCTCTTCTCAAATACTGCTATTTGAAGAAACAATATTATGTTGTTGACAGCAGCTGGGAACATAAGCCATCTGCGAATAAAAAAAAAGTTTAGTTTTTCCGCCCATATCTAAAGTATTCTGATCCCTTTCAATAGCCTTAGCAGTATTTTGATCCCTTTTCAATAGCCTCAGCCTACCTCGGGGTGTCTCGTGAATATTAATGAGATACGGTCTGCTAAAACACTCTGAACTTTTTAAAAAGATAATGGAATATTTCATTGGTTCACATTTTGTGAATTAAAGACAATTAAACTAAAAGACTCGAACTTTCTTCACTATGTTATATTTGTTTATTTGGATAGACTATAGCCTACTTGCATAGTAGCCTATAGTTGTTTTGTCACAGTTGTAAAACATAAACAGAGCAGTGTCTTCAGTAATTCAAAGAATAGGACACATGAATGAAAAATGTCAACAAAAAAACGAGAATAACTTTTAATGCGTGTTCTAGAATATGCAGTATTTCATTTAGAAAAAGACAGTACATTTTTGGCTTCTGTGTGCTTAAATGGTATGGTTATAAAAAACATGAAGTGTACGTCACGCTATAGCGTGTCACGTGACAGTGTGTAGTTTCAAGATGGCTGCGGAGGATCTCCCATCTCAATTTGATGTTGTCATTCTCGGAACAGGTACGAAATGCCTACGTTAATATAATAATTTTTAATTGTTGGCTTTCCAGAAGTTTTATTTTGTGCCCGGTTTCGCTATGGAAAATGGGTGTTGGATGACAGTCTTGTTTTGCTACAGACACAGCGACAAATGAATGCTAAAAAGCTAATGTGTGTTTTGACATATGATGAGGAACGGCATTTATATATTTCTTTTGACAGTCATTTCACTGTTAAAATGTGTGATAGGATGGAAACGGAAAGATAGAGGAAAATAAATCCCAGAATAGCGTGTGACAGGCTGGTCATGAATGAGAGATGCTGAATCACAGATGAGTTGGAGAAGGTGATGGAGGAACATTGACTTCACTGTGTTTCTTCACTGTGTTTATTCACTGTGTTCATTCTGAATGTCACTGTCATTCCTTAGTCTAGTTACTTCATAACTGTGGATCATAATACTTGAGTTACATTCTGTTTTGATTCGTTGCTTAAATCGTAAGTTGGCCGTTTTTGAAGAGACACTTTCTGAAGTACAAGCATATCAGCATGGCTCAATATTAACTAGTATTTTGCTTATTAGTATGCATATTACTAGGATATATTGTCTGTTTATTAGTACTTATAAAGCACATATTAAAGCGTTATTCTGTTTGACCATATTCTAAATCTATTAATTCTACTCAATACATAAACTTAACTACTTTACTAACTATTAATAAGCATTAAAATTAGGAGTTTATTGATGCAAAAGTTGTTTTTAATAGTTAGTTAATAGTGAAAATTGGACCCTAATCTAAAGTGTGACCATAATATTAATAACAACTCTGTATTGTCTAGGGGTGTAACGATACCCTCATGTCACGATTCGATACATATCACGATACTGAACTCACGATACGATATTATTGCGAATCAAATTGCGATACTCCAAGACATATGATAAAAGGTTAACAAAAAATGTATTGTTGATTAAAATGCTAACTTTGATATTACATTGTGGGTTTAAATGAATAGGTTTGGACTTGGTGCTTGTTACCCAAGAACAATAGAGACACCAGAATAAAAATATTCATGATTCTGAAGCTGAAAATACAGAATTATTTTAGACGAATATGCTTGCACTCTGTCACTGACTAGATATATTTAAAATAATGTAGGCCACTTTTTACTGATAACAAGACATTTGGCATTATCCTGACCCGCAAATATTCCACCATTGCATTATTATACATTATAATCAACATTATGTATAGTAGTTTAATGTAGTACTAAAACTCTGAATTTTTTTTTTTTTTAATTCTCACACAGTCATTTTTAGTTTGGGGGAACTATCCACGATACATATTGTCACTATCCACGATACGTATTGTTGCATTTTTGTATTGCGATATATTGTGGCACGATATATTGTTACACCCCTAGTATTGTCAATTGTCAATATAAAAACATCTGCAATTCTCCAAACTTGATGCAAATTATATTAATGATAATAATTATTATTATTATTATTTTGAGTACTTGTTATTTCCAACAGGTGTAAACAGTTATTATTAAAAAATATTACAGTTTTTCACAATTGCTAAGACACATTTCTTGAAACCTTCACCAATTTTCTCAAAACATTAAAGGGGTGGTTGATTATGATTTCACTTAGTAACTTTAGTTAGTGTTTAATGTTGCTGTATGAGCATCAACAACATCTGCAAAGTTACAACGCTCAAAGTTCAAATCAAAGGAAGATATTTGCTTTTAAAGGGGTCATATAATGCCATTTTTGTACAAGTTAATATAAATGTTTAGGGTCTAAATGAAAACTTTGTAATATACTTTTATAAAAAATTCGTATTAGTATTTTAAGAAAACACAAATTTTACTTGGTCAAAAACAGCTCTGTTTTCAGCACACCGTTTCAGTGCATATGACTTTAAATGATAATGAGCTTCGCTCACTCCGCCCCTCTTTACTGCAGGCGTTTTGATACAAGGCACGTGGAGTGTTGCCTTGACAACAGTTGAGGGTATATTTTGGAGTAAGAATGGCAGTGGGAGTCTGGTCCGTGTACGTTTTGATAGTTTGTTTTCCAATTTGAAACGAAATAAGCAGAAACGAGAAAACGGCGCCTTATTCGTTTTAAAAAAAAAACGAGATTTCCGTTTTATTTAGTTTTTTAGTTCACAGGCAAAAACGAATAAATGACTTTAAAATTAGTTTTCTACATGTGGGCGGTCCTGAGACTCCCCCTTCCGCCGATTGGTCAAGCAAATCTGAGCATGTGACGTCATCAGTCGTCGCTCAGGCCATCCTTAAAAATATTCTTGTTTGCCGTAACCCGACCGACCCTGTCAATTTAGGACCGACCCAATTTTTAATTTTTTTTCCCTTTTAGTCCGACCGACTTGCCGGTTGTAAATTTGCATTAAGACCGACCTATTTTTTTTTTACTCTTCAAACAACTAATACAAATGCAATAAAATATAAATGCATGCTGCACATGTTCTTGTGAAATAAAGTATATTTTATATAAAATGACCATGAGTTTCAAGCATTATTTTTCACCATCATGATCAGGAAGTAACTCTCATAATACAATGAAACGGATAACTATATAGAATTATATTACACACAAAATCAATGTTTTAAAATGCTTATTGTACTTTACCTTAATGTATCATTGTAATACGTTAAAGTATGGTTTAGTGTGTAATAATGCCGTCTCGTGTCTAAGCAAATTACGCTCCAACGCGTTAGGTGGCGTTACTCGGTTTAGAACGTAAGCTCACCCCTCACTTCCGGTCCTGGCGCTGGTGTTAGAACGTAAGCTCCGCCCCTTACTTCCGGTTCTGGCGCTGGGGTTCTGAAACTGGTGGTGCTGCGGGTCTGCAGCTGGATACTATTGGCGCAGGGAGGAAGGAAGTGTTTGCTTGCGCGACCTAATCTCACCAGCGCCGCGCTGACCAATAAAACAGCACATCCCATACCGAAATGTACTAAATTACACTAAAGAAAATCGACCATTCCATAATATGTCAGGACTACTTAATAGGCCTATAGTTTCTACAATGCGCCTAGCCATTTGACCTCACTGATTTCCGTTAATAATAGCAGATGTGTATGGGTCCAATTTAAACGAATAGTGCCAAATGCGCTGTTTTATTGGTCGGCGCGGCACTGGTGAGATTAGTCCCTCTGAAAATCCACTCTTTCCCCCCAAATGAATGCAGCTGGAATTAATGCAATAAACATGTTTTTTGACAAAGATTTCAAATTGTTTGTTGTCTATAACCTGTATCAGAATGAGATTCGCAATGGTGCGCCCAAAGGCATGGGTTGAAGACACTGTCAGTGGCGTCACGATATGCAAATTTGTTTAAATTCATACCGACGTAATCACCATGACCAAAATTGTCCTTTTTTTTTTTCATTGAATTTTGAAAAAAAAAAATATAGACCTACCTACCGACCCTTTTTTTTTTTTTTTTTTTGCTGTTACTGCAAACCAAACTATTTTTAAGGATGGCCTCAGGTCTGTTCAACAAAATAATAGTCCTCTACTATGGCTACCGATTCTTAAACGGTACAGGGCAGGCCCTATTGGGCTTTCTTCTGTGCAACTTTACCGTTTCACAGAAATCTTTACATCAGAAATATTAAATATAAGTCTGCCACCAGCCTGTTTTATTTAGCTGTGGGGAGTTAAATCTGTTTGGTGAAGCTGCGCTTGACAGCGGCGAGCGGGAGAGGCTCTGACCAATGTTCAGTCAGCAGTGAGAAGAACTTTTCTTTTAGACAGTATAGCTCCGTTTTGACACGGGATTGTGATTTTTACTGAAACTGTAATAGCCGCGACCCGCGAGAATGATTGACAGGACGATAGCGGAGGCAATTAAAAGCACAATATAACTTCAGTTAACAAAAACACAATTAAAAAAGTGTTTAATACAAGTGACTTTTTCTTTGTTTTATTGTTTTTGTTGTTTTTAATCAAATAATTGTGAACGACAAACCGAGCCTTCGTTTTAAAGGGCGATTTCCAAATATATTAAAACTGGAGATAGACATACCTTTTCAAATTATAGGCCCGTTTCTTTGCTTTCACAATTTTCAAAAATATTGGAAAAATTATTTTATACAAGATTAAATGATTTTGTTATAAAATACAACATATTAAGAAAACAACAATATGGGTTTAGAAGTAATAGAACAACCTCACATGCATTAATAGAATTTGTGGAGAAAATATCTAACGCAATAGAAAATAAACAATACACAGTTGGGGTATTTTTAGATCTTAAAAAAGCATTTGACACTGTCGACCATGACATCTTACTAGAGAAACTGAAAAAATATGGAGTAAGAGGGGTAACTCACTCTTGGATAAGTAATTACTTAGACAAAAGGCATCAATATGTCCAAATAGATAATTGCAAGTCACAATTGGTGCAGGTAACGTGGGGTTCGCCAAGGCTCTGTGCTGGGCCCATTGCTTCATTGCTTTTTCTGTTATACATTAATGATATACACTCACCGGCCACTTTATTAGGTACACCTGTCCAACTGCTCGTTAACACTTAATTTCTAAGCAGCCAATCACATGGCGGCAACTCAGTGCATTTAGGCATGTAGACATGGTCAAGACAATCTCCTGCAGTTCAAACCGAGCATCAGTATGGGGAAGAAAGTTGATTTGAGTGACTTTGAACGTGGCATGATTGTTGGTGCCAGAAGGGCTGGTCTGAGTATTTCAGAAACTGCTAATCTACTGGGATTTTCACGCACAACCATCTCTAGGGTTTACAGAGAATGGTCCGAAAAAGAAAAAACATCCAGTGAGCGGCAGTTCTGTGGGCGGAAATGCCTTGTTGATGCCAGAGGTCAGAGGAGAATGGCCAGACTGGTTCGAGCTGATAGAAGGGCAACAGTGACTGAAATAACCACTCGTTACAACCGAGGTATGCAGCAAAGCATTTGTGAAGCCACAACACGCACAACCTTGAGGCGGATGGGCTACAACAGCAGAA